CCCCTCAATACCCTAAGTGCCCAATAGCCTCAGGTGCAGCTTTCCGTTGCCTGTGTTTGCACCTCAACCGACTGAAAGGGCTTAGGAATAGGTCGTGTTTGGACCGCTGGGACACAGATCCCATAATTAGACCCTCGAGGTCTCCAGCAAATTTTGTGGTCCCCTAAACTGAAGTACACTGGCAAGAGTGGACCAGTTAGTAAGAGCGAGAACGCTGGTCACTGCTCTGTCCCGTTGAGTAAGAGCGAGAAATTCGGGACGAATGGCCTTACCAGTTGCGACGTAGTTAGGAGCCCAAATGCCGTTGCAGATTCAGCAGCGGTTTTTGCAAAGACTCTTGCTGCAGCTTGCAGGGTAGAGAAACCTCCCCTGCTTGCTTTGAAGGTGCCTTTGGGCTAAGGTTCCTCTTGAGGGAGTGCGCAGGGGACTCCCTGTCTGTAGTCTGGGGACGACGCGAGCCATACTCCGGTAGAGCGCTGCTCCCGTAGAGTGGGGCGACGGAATACCCAGGACTTCAGGTAGTGAGCCCTTGCGCTCTTCTCAGTGTCAGGAATACCAGGGCTGCTGCAGCCCAGCCTATGTTCCAGGACTTCGCTTGGAACTTTGTGTAGTCACCTTTTGCGTATTGGTGACGCCCAGGCTTTGACTCGAGCTTTGTCGGTGGGCTCTTTTGTTTTTTTGGCGCTTGCGGGGGTTGGGATTAGTGTTCTCTGCTTGGGCCCATCGCTGCACTAGCGCGCGACGGAAAACGCAAGAACCGATCTCGTATTTGCGAGTATCTCCTCTTACGATGATGTGCTGTGTGGTTGGGATTGGGTCGTGCAGGGGGCGCTGGTTCCGGCTTCGCCTCTGTGTTGGTCTTTTCGCCTGGGTTAATCTAGCTTTGCCTGCTCACCTGTGCCAGTTGCAAGCTTGGCATTTGTGGTGTCAGTTACAGTCCTTGGGGCTCGTTTGCAGGTGAGTTTCTCCCTGCAGAGCCCTCACGGCCCCTTTTCTCTTTGCTGGTCTGTTGGGTGGCCAAAGGCAACGCAGGCTTTGTGTTCGTGCAGGACTGGGCTTCTGGACCCTTCCTGTTTTACTGTGAGCTTCTCGCAGAAGAAAGGCATCTACCCTTAACCGTGAATTGGGAAGTTTCTTCCCTCTGGTAAGGGTGAGCTCCTCCCCTTATCTACAATAGGGACGTAGGCAGCAATGAGCTTTTGAGCTGGCAGCTTTTAGCTAAGGTGAGTTCCTCCTTTAGCGCTGCTCACAGCTCCAGGTGCTCGGCTAGGAGTGAGAGCCTCCTCACGGCCTTCACTTGCCCTTTCCGTTTCACCCCGACCCCCCCGTAGAGCTCTGCTCCGGAAGGCCCAACTGTGGCGCGTGACTCTGTCCGCTCGGCTGGAAAGTTCATGTTTGGCTCAAGTCTCGGCTCAAGCTCCCTCTGGAGCGCGTAGGCAGTGCAGCTGTGTAGAACAGGCCTGGGTACTAACAACGTACTAAGAGGCTCCAACAGGTCAATCCCAGCTTTCCACACTTTGCCATTGCGCCCATACCCGGAGGTGTAAGGCGCAGTCAGGGTTCGAGCACCTCGCCCTGCAGCAGCTAGCTAAGAGCCCGGCTTGGGCTCCACTTCACGGTGAGTTTCTCCCGTGACGAACACTTCGAGATGCAAAGTGTGTCCAGTACCGCCATGATCACTTTGACTTGCTATGTGTTTGCTTGGAGACACGAAGGCCGTCGTGAAGGCCTCTTTCTTGAGGCCACTTCCTTGCAAAGGTGTCACTTTGTTCGCAGAACGAGACGCGGTTACATCCGTTGGGGTTCCCACGGCACGTGGAGTCTTACCATGGAGCAAGGGCGGCCTGTGCTCCGTCTAGTGGGGTTTAGGTGCTGCGCAGATGCTACCATCCGGTACATTACTTTCACGGTCGATCCCCGCAACGAGAGATTCATGAGTGACTCGCAAGGTAGGACTATCAGGTACCTTGGACAGCTGCGCATGCTAATCCATGCAGGCCCTCTAAGGGCCTTGGCATTGCCCGACTCGGAAGAGTGGGTTGTTTTGTAGCACTATAGCTGGCCCTCATAGGCAATGAGGGAAGTCGGAATTGCCCTGCTTAGGGCGAGAGTAGGTGCAGGGTTCAAGTTTTCTTCCAGCACGCAAGCTTTCCCTGCAAGGAATCGGTGAGCTCCTCACCTTTCCTTCTACCTTTTAATTGCGTTACCAGACGGGTAAAGCTTCTTCCCGAGAGGGCGAGCTTCTCCCCTCAATACCCTAAGTGCCCAATAGCCTCAGGTGCAGCTTTCCGTTGCCTGTGTTTGCACCTCAACCGACTGAAAGGGCTTAGGAATAGGTCGTGTTTGGACCGCTGGGACACAGATCCCATAATTAGGCCCTCGAGGTCTCCAGCAAATTTTGTGGTCCCCTAAACTGAAGTACACTGGCAAGAGTGGACCAGTTAGTAAGAGCGAGAACGCTGGTCACTGCTCTGTCCCGTTGAGTAAGAGCGAGAAATTCGGGACGAATGGCCTTACCAGTTGCGACGTAGTTAGGAGCCCAAATGCCGTTGCAGATTCAGCAGCGGTTTTTGCAAAGACTCTTGCTGCAGCTTGCAGGGTAGAGAAACCTCCCCTGCTTGCTTTGAAGGTGCCTTTGGGCTAAGGTTCCTCTTGAGGGAGTGTGCAGGGGACTCCCTGTCTGTAGTCTGGGGACGACGCGAGCCATACTCCGGTAGAGCCCTGCTCCCGTAGAGTGGGACGACGGAATACCCAGGACTTCAGGTAGTGAGCCCTTGCGCTCTTCTCAGTGTCAGGAATACCAGGGCTGCTGCAGCCCAGCCTCTGTTCCAGGACTTCGCTTGGAACTTTGTGTAGTCACCTTTTGCGTATTGGTGACGCCCAGGCTTTGACTCGAGCTTTGTCGGTGGGCTCTTTTGTTTGTTTGGCGCTTGCGGGGGTTGGGATTAGTGTTCTCTGCTTGGGCCCATCGCTGCACTAGCGCGCGACGGAAAACGCAAGAACCGATCACGTATTTGTGAGTATCTCCTCTTACGATGATGTGCTGTGTGGTTGGGATTGGGTCGTGCAGGGGGCGCTGGTTCCGGCTTCGCCTCTGTGTTGGTCTTTTCGCCTGGGTTAATCTAGCTTTGCCTGCTCACCTGTGCCAGTTGCAAGCTTGGCATTTGTGGTGTCAGTTACAGTCCTTGGGGCTCGTTTGCAGGTGAGTTTCTCCCTGCAGAGCCCTCACCGCCCCTTTTCTCTTTGCTGGTCTGTTGGGTGGCCAAAGGCAACGCAGGCTTTGTGTTCGTGCAGGACTGGGCTTCTGGACCCTTCCTGTTTTCCTGTGAGCTTCTCGCAGAAGAAAGGCCTCCACCCTTAACCGTGAATTGGGAAGTTTCTTCCCTCTGGTAAGGGTGAGCTCCTCCCCTTATCTACAATAGGGACGTAGGCAGCAATGAGCTTTTGAGCTGGCAGCTTTTAGCTAAGGTGAGTTCCTCCTTTAGCGCTGCTCACAGCTCCAGGTGCTCGGCTAGGAGTGAGAGCCTCCTCACGGCCTTCACCTGCCCTTTCCGTTTCACCCCGACCCCCCCGTAGAGCTCTGCTCCGGAAGGCCCAACTGTGGCGCGTGACTCTGTCCGCTCGGCTGAAAGTTCATGTTTAAGACATGTTACTTTGGTTGTCCTGCATGCCTGCTCAGGTGTGAGTCGTTTTAGCTGAAAGTTTTGCCTTGGAGGCTTGACTGACGAGCTTGCTTTCAGTGGAAAGCCTTTTGAAGTGCTTGAGAGTGTAGGGAAGTGTTTTCCTTGGTGTAACTACGTTTGGAGTGACTTGGTAGCTGTAGTTTTGCTTGCGCTAGTTTTGAGTCGGTCCCGAGAACTCCCACTGACGTTTGAGTTTGTTTTGCAGTTGTGGAGAACACGTGGCTGAGCAGTGTTTCACTTGCAGTGCTATGGCACATAGAATATCTGTGGCCAAGTTGCACAGACAAAGCCTCCGGCTGCTGACTTTGGCTCAAGCCGTGAGAAAAAGAGGGTTCAGCGCGCTGCTGCTGTGTTTTCACAAAGTGCGCACCTTACTTAAACAGTTTGGGCACATATCTACCACAAACACGGCCTCTTACCAAGCCGCTCAAACTTCTTGGAGCACATCTTCCCACAGCGAAGCCGGTTTCGCATCAGCAAGACGATGCAGCTTGCGCAACGTCATGTGCTCCATGTACCGGAGGAACTTGCCGATCCGAATGTTAGCAAGCACATACTTTCGAGACTTCAAAGCCGGCGCAACATTGTCACGCCCATAGATGTGGATCATGTCATCCTGCGGTGCCTTGTGATTCCCCAAAATTCTCCCGCAGCCAGACAAAATTCTGCAACCATAGCCGTGGAATGAACGTCCGACCAGCCGCCCTCCTGACCACGTGGAAAGGGAAACGTCATCCAAGCCTTGAACCAAGGAACTGCCGCTCTCCACACAATGGTTCTCCAAAAGCCGCCTTCTTTCCAAGAAAAACGGTCAGCCTGGACACGCGGCCCCACAAAAAAGAAACACAGGTTTTTGGAAGTGTAGAAAACCAGTGCTCTGCCTAGTAGTGTTTTAGGTGCGACACAAAGTTTTTCCTCGGTACCTGTATAGTTGTATAGTTTTGCTAGTTTCAGGTGGTCAGTGCCTGTAGAACGTAGTTTGAGCTTGCGTGACGGTTTTGCGGTAGCCTCAACCTGTTTTCCCTTGTTTTGTAGTGCTTGGGAGCTTTCAAGAGGTGCCACGACTACTGTTGTTTGGCTCAAGACACGTAAGACCAGCTGAGCTGAACGTGCTAAAAGTGTGAACTGTCCGAGTGTTTTGTGAGCTTGCTTTGCTTGCAAGGGTGCTTGGAACTTGTTTGCCTTGAACCTGAAGAGCTGTTCGCCTTCTAGGTTTTTTTCGTGGTAGCGTGGAAACGCTCGTTGCCTTGCAACCAAAAGAAAAAGCCCAATACGTTGACTTGAGGCGTGTTGCTTGCTTGGTTGTGCTTGTGAGAAATGGAAGGCCGTGGCAGGCCAAGCTACTTCAACATCGGTGATGGGCCAGGTGAGCCTGGTATGATCCGAAGGAATAGCAGGTCAGACGCTGCGCCGCCTTACCAGAGGCCGAGAGCGAGCAGTGTGCCTCGGGGTGCTGCCTTTAGTCCGGTGTCGAACTTGTCGGCTCTGGAACGGGGTATGCATCCAACCGGAAGCCCTGTGGTGGGAAGCCCAGCTCGCTCGCCGAACCCTCTTGGAGGTGTGTTGCCACCCCCGCCAGGTTTGCCAGAGTTTGGTGGAGTTTCGCCAGTTAGTGCACCACCGCAGCTCACCGTGGAGACGTTTCTTTACCAGACGGTGCAGCAACAGCAGCAGCAAGTTGCTCAGCTTACGTCTCTAGTCCAGGCTCTTGTGAGCAGGGATGTGCCTGCGCCATCTACTGCGAGAGGCAAGGGACACGGTGGAGAGCTTAGCTCCATCTCCGATTCGTCGGGGAAGATGGAGGTTGATGAGGGAGGTGCCCCCATCAGGAATCCCAAAGCTGAAGCTCATGTTCCCAAGTTGCCTGCAATTGATGGTGGAAAAATGAGCAAAGGCCGTCGCTCGGAGATCGAGGGGTGGGCTGAATTCTTAGGGCAGTTTTTGCCTTGGATCGCCCTCTTTGACGATAGGATCCCGGAAGAGCTTCATCGGTCGATTGCCTCGGAGGTCACCATCAAGCAGTCGTCGCTTGAAAAGGGACAGAGCGTGCGTTCAACTAGGACCTTCTTGTACCTGAAGCAAGCGTTGCAAGGGTTTGCTCGTGGGCTTGACTTGGTTAAGCAAGTGGAGAAGGAGCAGCTTGGCTCCCCAGCTGGGTATGAGTGCATGAGGAGATTGCATCAGGAGTTGTCTGTTGCGAGCCGCATCGAGGCTTCGACGCTTCGGAATGAGGCTTTGCAGTACCGCGCGAGCACTCCTGCCAATCGTCCACTTGACATGTTTCGGAACATCCAGTTGGAGCTTGCCAAGTTTACCCGCTTGACCGCAGGGTTCCCAGATCTTGCGTTGAGTGAAGCAGGTCGTTGCATGATTGTTTTGAGAAACCTTGACGTCGAAGTGAAGAAGTATGTTCTTTTGCATGCTAGGGTTGACTCCATGGATCAGCTTGAAACTGCTTTGAAGTTTTATGATGCCAACCTAAAGATCCTGAATTTCCAAGAGAAGGAAGGAAAGGGAGCAGCAAAGGACCACGCGAATGCTTTGACCTTCGAAGACAAGGGAAAGGGCAAGAAGGGTGACAAAGGAAAGGAAGGAAAAGGAAAGGACAGAGGAAAGGACAACAAGAAAGGGAAGGAGAAAGGAAAGGAAGGAAAAGGGAAAGGTGGAAAGGACAAAGGCAAGGACAAAGGGAAGACCGCAGCCGCAAAGGACGGCGAGCAAGGTTCTGGAAGCGACAAGGAGAAGGAGAAGGAGAAAGCAGAGCACTTGAAGAACGTCAAGTGTTACAACTGTGACCAGTTCGGGCACTACTCGAATAAGTGTCCCAAGCCCAAGAGGGAAAGAGCATCAGCAGCTGCTTTGCTCGAGCCGCAGGTCGCGGCTGCCTCTTTGGAGCCTCAGATTTTCGCAGCAGCGGTTGATCTGAGTTGTCCGGTTGTTGAGCTTGATGAGGAGGATTGCTCAGATTTTTCCCAGGAGGATTGGGAAGAGTTTGTTGCATCTTATGAGTGTGCTTGGTCGGAGCCAGTTGTGCTTGAAGGCGGTGAGCCTGTTGTTGCGCATGAGGGTTCCATGTTGCACGTTGCGCTTGACAGTTTTCCTTGTGACAGCCCAAACAGAGCCACAGTTGAGCTTGCAGAGTCCCGCGGTGTCCCAAACAGAACCACAGTTGAGCTTGCAGAGTCCCACCAGGTCCCAGACAGAACCACAGTCGAGCTTGCAGAGTCCCCAGAGTTGAGCTTGGAAGTAGGTCGTTTTGTTGCAGATTTTCCAAATGGCGTTGAGCATGGCATGTTGCATGGGGTAGGTAGACCTGACCATGGCATGGTAGCGCACGAAACAGCAGCAGCCAGCCAGCAGCATGACACCATGGACTGGTGGCTCGTCGACTCTGGCGCGTCAGCCCACATCATCAACGAGGACACTTTGAGCCGGGTGCACGTTGTGAGCCACAGTGAGTCTGCCAGTGAGTGTGTTTCTGCAACGGGTGACAGCATTGGAGTTCGGAGGTCTGCGGTTGTCAGGGTTCCATTCGTTTTGGTTTCAGGCGAGACGGTGGTAACAGAACTCCAAGTGCTTGTTGCTCCTGTGAAGTTTAACCTGCTGTCCTTAGGGCGTTTGCTGGGCAAGAGCTGGGTTGTGGATTTCCTGCCAAATTTTAAAGTTGAGGCCGCTGGGTACGTTCTTCGCACGAGATGGGTCTCCAATTGCGGATGGGTTTTCTCGAGTGCTGTTGAGCTTGACCGTTCCGTTGCAGTTGCCGCCCGAGCGAGCTTGAAGCGTAGTGGCGGCTGTGCTCCTTCGTCTGGGAAGCCTTCTAAGAAGGATGGGGAGGAGCAACCGGGCACCAGAGGAGTCTTCTTCCGACTCGGAGCAGGAGTGGCGCCTTTCGGGTCGCCGCCACCTAGCGGAGCAGCACGCGGCGACTGTTACGAGGACGCACGAGGACTTCGAGGGATCCACGGTCGCCTTTACGGCAACCTCGATGGTGGGTCTTACGCCGGGCCAGAACCTGCTGTTGGTGCCAGCCGCGGAAGTGAAGAAGAAGACGGCAGAACAGGCAAAGGCAGCTGCGAAAGCAGCGGCGGAGAAGTTCGTGAAGGAGCGCCAGGAGAGCGCCCAGTGGGCCAAGGAGGCAGAGGAAGCAAAGAAGAAGAGAGCAGCCAAAGCCGCCGAGGCCAAGAAGAAGGCAGCCGAGGCGGAGAAGTTGATCAACGAGGCCACGGAGGCAAAGAAGAGAGCAGCCGAGGCAGTGGAGTTGGTCAGCGATTCCCCAGAGGGGAAGAAGAAGAAAGCAGCCGAGGCAGAGAAGTTGGTCGACGAGGCCACGGAGGCAAAGAAGAAAGCAGCCGAGGCGGCAGCAAAGCCGCGGAGGCAAAGAAGAAGGCAGCCACAGATGCCGTGGAGACAAAGAAGCCCAAGGGCAGTGTGGCCAGAGCAAGGGCAGAGCCGTCTTCGGGGTCGAAGGACCCACCGCAGCCAGTGGTGAAGAGGCAGCCCAAGCCGCCCATGGTGAAGGCAATGCCAGCCAAGGTCCGAAAGATCGTCCTGAAGAGCCGGGCCCAGCGCGGGATTCCCGGGCAGACCGACACTGCGCTGAGAATGCTTTCGCAGCGGGCCAAGGAGAAGAAGAAGAGCGGCTACCTCATGAAGGCCATCAACAACGCTATGAAGAAGAAGGCCGAGGAGCAGAAGGGCGCGCCAGTCAGACGAACCTGGGAGAAGCATATCAAGGACCACTATGCTCAGATCAGGGGGCTGGAGATCCCGTTCGTGGAGGTGACGATTTCCGAAATTGTCAAGGAGCCTCGGGGACCACCGGCGGTGCCACAGCCGAAGACCCCTCCTTCTACGCCAGCGCGAGCTTCAAAGGCCCCGGAGGTCAAGGTGGAGAGCGCGCGTGCAGCAAAGGTGCCGGAGGAAGGTGGAGGGCATGGAGATCAATCCCCCACCACCGGTGCCACCAAGGAGGAGGCTACCCACGCCGCCGAGGGACCCGAGGTCAGCCGGACGAGGGCCCTCTGCGCCCTCAGAGTGGTCACCTGTGTCCAGTCTGCCGCCATGTCACCAGTTTCCAGCGTGCCGGTGGATGCAAGGGCCAGGGAAACCCCAGCAGAGACGAGAGCCGAGGAGCCCCCAGCAGAGGGGAGAGCCGAGCAGCTGCATCTTGGGGACGACGGCAAGATCTACAACTCCCGGGGCGAGGTGGTGGAGCTGGAGAGCATCGAGATAGAGTGAGCCACGGCGGTGCACAAGGATCCTCCAAGGACGCCCGCCAATCTTCCGAGGACGCCCACCATCCAGGAATATCCGATGGTCCTTCTTCCTTGGGACTCTCGCTTCTAATGCAAGAAAAGGTTGCGTTTGCATGTGAGCATGATGTTGCAGTTGAGCTTGGTGAGCGTGCATGTGCTGGTGGTTTGGATGAGCATGAGTTGCAGCATGGTGAGTTGCTTGAGCATGTTGGCCAGGACCGACCACAGCGTGACCGGAGCGAGGCCCATGATAGCCAGAGTGAAGCATGGTTGCTCAGAGGGGATCGGGAACTGTTGTTGCAGGAAAGCTGGGGTAAGCTAGAGCGAGAACATGTTCTTAGATCGCATGTGCCGTACAATGCGTCTTGCCCGCAGTGTGTGCAAGGCCGTGGGCTTGAACCCGCCAGAAGCCAGGATCGGCCCCAGGACTCAGGGATGAGAGAGGTGCAAATAGATAAGTTTTTCTATAAGGGCCTCGCGTTCCTGGTGTTGGTTTTGGTCGGTGCTTTTGCCCTCGGTGTGGTTCCGTACCGTGAGGTGAGCGGATCCCGAGGCCCAGCAGCCAAGGAAGCCATGTTGAATGACATGTCGGCATGGAGTCGTAGCGTTGGCTTGGTTGGTGTTGCTCCCAGTGAGTTGACAGTGAGTGTGAAGTCGGACATTGAGGGTGTTGTGAAGAACCTTGCACAGAGTTTTGCTGATGGTTTGACCGCCGGTGCCATCGAGGTTGTGGATGCCCCTGTTGGTCGGCATGCTGTTGTTGCAGAGCGTGCGGTGAGGACCATCAAGGAAGGTGCAAACACACTTTGTGCTGGGTTGGAACAGGTCGGCTTGGAGCCCTGCGGGAAGGGTGTTACGTATCTTTTGATGCACGTTGCCCAGGTCTATAACCGGTACCAGGTGCATCCTGGATCGGCGCTGTCCCCAGAACAGCGTTGCTTGAAGACCACCCGAGGACCGCATGCCGCTTATGTTTGGGGTGCCGCTGTGCTTGCCACTCCTCCTCCCTCTTTGCGTGACAAGATCACCGGCCGTTACGGCCACGCCGCCTATCTTGGACCAGAAGTCGGAAGTGGAAGCCACATTGTGCAGTTTAGGCTGCGGGATGGCACCTTGAAGATTGCGAGAAGTGCAAGAATCCGGATGTTGGTTCCTCTTACCTTTGAGGTGTCGAGCTTGAAAGGTGTTTGTCGCATGTTGCCAGGAAGGAGAGATGATGCCCAGAAGAAGCTCCCCGAGAGCACTGGCGAAAATGTGCGCGACCTCCCTTTACCGAACACCGCGACCCGAGGACCACCACCAGAGTGGATTGAAGAAAACGGAAGAACCCCAAGGTGTCGAGCTTGCCGGCTGCGCGGGTTTCCAGCGGATAAGGCATGGCACACCCAGAGATGCCGTGATCGATACGCTGAGTTTGTGCGGAACTCCTTCGATCCCAGCCGGGCGATTCTCGATCAAGCCCCAATTGAAGAAGAGCCGACCGGGCTTGATGATTTGGGTGCTGGATTTGATGTTGATCTTGGGCTTGATGTGCCGGATGATCTTGATCCTTTCCCGAATTTTCCATTGGATGAGGATTTGGCTGAGTATGAGCCCAGCCTGCCTGGAGTTGAGAATGAGATAGAAGTTGGAGAAGAACTCGAGCAGATCGAGGCCCCGAGCCCGGGCGAGCTTGATTTCATGCAAGTGGAGCCGGAACCTCTTGAAGCACTCCCAGAAGAAGAGCGGGAGGCTATGGTGTCTAGCGTGATGTATCGCGAGTCCATCTCCTTTGCTGGTGCGTCGGTTTGCTTTGCAGGGGCCGCCACCACCAAGGTTGTTACTCCTCAGGTTGTTGAGCTTGGGGGGGAGAAGCTGCTTGTTGAAGTGCCAGCTTCTGCAAAGGATGATGTGACTGGGCACCTGCTTGATATTGGCTTGACCTATGAGGGCAGGTTGCGTGAACTTCGTGCTCTTGAGTCGCTTGCTGTCGGTGATGTTGTGTGGCATGTTGAACCGAAGCAGAAGGTGATCTCTACAAGGTGGGTCTCAAATGCCAAGGTCGAGCGTGTTGAGGGAAAGGAGAATCCGCTTGTCAGGTGTCGGGTTGTTGCTCGTGACTTTGCGCAGGGAGCGACCGCTGCGCAGCTGGGTATCTCTGCTGCCACAAGTTCCGCAGAAGCGCTGCAAACCTTTCTTTTCTACGCCGGTTCCAAGAGGAGGAACATCGTCGGGTTGGATGTGAGCACCGCGTTTCTCTTTGCGGAGCTCGACGAAGAAGATGGCCACATTGTGGTCAGGCTGCCGGACGGAGTTAAGGGTAAGGACGGCCGCCGCGGCTACCTACGCCTAAAGAAGGCCCTTTATGGTCTAAGAGTTGCAGCTCAGACCTGGTCGCGTCACCTGGCAAAGCTGCTGAAGAAGCTCTGTGACCTGGAGCCCTGCGAGACTGAGGCTTGTTTGTTTTCAGGATCCGTGCTTGGAGGCCAGCGGGTGGTTGTTCTTTGCTACGTTGATGATCTACTCATCACTGGAGACAGCGATGAGGCTATCTACCATGTGGTGGAGCAGCTGAAGACCGCTGTGAAGGTGAAGGTCACAGCCGATCTGGACCGTGACGGTCAGATCACCTTCCTTGGAAGACAGATTGCCCGAGAGCATTCTAGTGACTCCCTGTGCGTCACAATGTCCGATTCCTACTATGAAGAGATCTACAAGGGTTTCTTCGGGAACTCCAAGGTCACTGCGCGCGGCACGCCGCCAAACCTAAAGGAGTTGTACGACCAAGAAGATCCTTGCTTGGAGAAACCCCTGTCTTCTGAAGCTGCTGCGAGGTTTCGCAGTTCCCTGGGAAGGCTATCATGGCTTGCGATGACAAGAGTGGATGTGGTTTACTATGTGAGCATGCTGGCCCGAGGCCAAGCAAATCCACTCGAGAAGCACGAGAGAGCTATGAGGGCTATGTTGCGTTACTTGAAGTATATTCAGGGTTTTAAGCAGGTGGTGAGTCCAGTTTCTGAGGAGAGCCTGCGCCTTGATTGCTATGTAGACGCTTCTTGGGGTAGCGAAAAGAATGTTGACAGGAAGAGCATCAGCGGAGGGTGCGTGATGTTGGGAGGCTTCTGTTTGAAAGCCTGGAGCCGTCTACAACAGGCTGTTGCCTTGAGTTCTGCTGAGAGCGAGCTCTATGGGCTTGTGGAGGGTGCGAAAGAGGCTCTCTCTATCCGCCGCGCCATCTCGCATGTCTTTGGGTGGGAAGATCTACCAAAGCCCCATCTTTTCTGTGACAGCGAGGCTGCAGTTGCTATCAGCAAGGCTGATGGGCTGAGGAAGGTGAGGCACATTGACCTTAGGGCGTGCTTTATCCAAGAAGCTCCACTAGTGCTCAAGCGCTCTATGGGGCGCTCAAATTCGGGGCCGTCGTGGCCGAAATCTTTTCTGGGGCTCGACATCAACGGTAAAAGGCTCTCTAGACTGGCTTTTAGACCCTCGAACCTTCAACAAGTTGGCCGTAGTTTTCGCTGCATGGTTTTCCGATTGGCTCTTTGCTGCGCTCTTTTCTTGGCAATTTCCTGCGAGATTTGCTTTTGCTTTTCTGGAGAATGCCGCCTGGAAGGCGTATTAGGGTCCGAGCAAAACGGAGGCGTCGGAGAGAGAGGCAAAGTACGAGCAGCTCGAACAGCTCACACACCATTCGAAGCTCGTCGATCGACTTTCCTCGAAGATACTTTCTTAGCCCTGCAAGGTCCATTGGGTCATGTGACAACTCGGCCGACCGGGAAGCGCCTGCAACGGGTATTGATACTGCCAAGCACATTCGAGCATATGCATTGGACTTGGCTGCAGACACACTGCAGCTTGCAACAGCGAGCCAATCTCGATATGGCACAGATCTGGCTAAAGAGCTGCTACGAGGCAGCTGCCCGAAACAAGTTCTGCTTCGAGCATGCGACCTGCTGTTTTCTCGGGAACGCTCCCTTTTGCTTGCAATGGTTCAAACAAGCTACCCGGCACTGTCGCGAGAGGCCTGGGCATCTGCAGTTTTCACAGCATTATGATGGGACACACATTCGGCTGCCTTGCTACAGTGCTGAGCCAACCACACACATGTCATGTCACGGGAAATTTCCTGTTACAGGTGGCTGGCTTACTTTAGCTACTGCTTGCTGCGACCTCAGTCATGGCTGTGGTGCCTCCACGCCGAGACTCAGTCCCCTTTGCAGGTCCCTTGGACCAAGAGGAGTCTTCGATTGGAATGATGGGTCAGACCCTTGTTCCAGACACAGCTGTGGTGTCACCACGCTGTTAAGCATCCACACTGCCAGATCCAATGTGCATGGCAAGATGGTGACATGGTCAGGAGCTTGGGTTCAGCCAATCAGGGATATGCATTTTCACGACATGTGGCTAGAGGTTACTTCGTGCTCCCCTTTGCGAACTGCTGCAGCGGAGTGCCCAGCGTCCTCCTCTAACTCCCGACCCAAGTGCGTAGAATGCATGGGCCGCAGGTACCAGTATGCTGCTTATATAGGCCTGGGTTGTTCCTTCACCATGCCAGTGAGTCCAATAATCCTTTCTGGTGGCTGTGGTGCTACCACGCTGCCAGGGCACAAGGTACAAGCTGCCCATTGCCTATGCCAGGCACTGTGTGCCGGTTCGGTGAGTGCTGGGTGTACCCGCCTCGCGCTTCCTCAGGTCCCTCGATGGAACAAGCCTGGCTGTACCGAAGGCTTCGTGCATTCTGACACTCGCATGTGTTGTCGTGTAGGGTTCCGAACTGATGATGCTGCACCTGTTTCTGTCCATATACGCTTCTTGACCTGCAGGAATCATCAACGAGGCTACCGTGCGGGCCACTGCACCAGACCGTTGCTCAGATGTCCCGTGCACCCAGCCACTGCTACTGATCGTGCCGTGCCTATCTCCGGTAAGTTTTCGCTCGAGGGATGCATAGACGCCGTAGTCAGCTGCGGTCCGGTGTCTCTTTCAGAGCACAACACATTTCTCCACATGGGGGCTCACAGCAGTGACTCGCGGCAGAAGAGATCGGCTTGCAGACCGGGCCGCCGGGAACGACTCATCATCAAGCAGACGGCCAAGGCCAAAGCTGCTCCGGGACCCCCGTTGCGACAACCACCGACGCCTCCTCTGCCTAGACATCGAGTGCTGCAGTATCCCAAGAGTACAGATCCACTGCTTCAACACCGGACATATGCGATGCCCACTTTGAAGCGAGATAGCTCGACTGCTGTTTTTGTCGCCGAGACTATTGCAGGGATCGGAGAGCATAGCATTGACAAGAAGGCCAAGGGCTGCAAGCACCAAGCTACTTCCAGTGACAATGCCTATGTTACCTTTGAGCCTCTGCCTTGTGAAGTTTATCGCTCACAGCTGGTCTCAGATCAGCAGCGGGGCAGACCAGACCAGTGCGGGAAGACGGCTGCGGCATACATAGATGCTCTTGCATTGTGTCGGTCAGCTTGCACAAATGCTTACATTGCATGCCTGAGGTGCTTGCGAACCCGGACACACAGCACACAGCGACATGTCGCGGCAAGAAAACACGTGACGGACGTTCGAGCAATAGGATGTGTAACACCTGCTGGTCGGAATCTTTCGTGGAGAGGGTGTCAGGACTATAGGACGCATGACGACTCTACACAGTCCTCTGGGGCTCATAAGGGACCTGTTTTGGTAGCAGGGAGTGGGCGGGGCGGCTGGGCGAAGTGTGCTCCGGTCGATACCTCAGCAAAGCTTACACTTTACCAACCAGGCGATCCTGCTGGCTCCCTGTCAGGCTTTTGCATGCTGAGTGCCGTGTGCGAATCTCGATCTTCTGCAACCATCGCGCTAATCAGCACGGCTCCATGCATTGACCTCTCTAGGTTGTGGATCACTTTCTGGGGCTCCTCGATATCATGGTCAGGAGCTCTGCCAAGGCCACTAGTAAACCAAGAGCCAAGCAACGATCCAAGGCGAAGCCCAAACCCAAGCAGACAGCCACCCGTGACACACCTGGGAGACGCAGTCGCGCCAAACGGGCCGCCCGATATAGCACCAGCGAAGACAGCAGCGAAAGCAGCAGCAGCACCGAAGGACCTGGCACCAGCACTGAGGCGGCACCTATGCCATCAGTCCCGAGGTCTCGTTCGATGGACCCTGGAGTTGCAATGGACTCCCTTTCTGACTGCGAGTGTGCTTCTCTACCTGGTAGTTCTGAGCTTGCATCAGCACCCATGTCGGCAATGCCATCGCCGAAGAACTGCAGTGCAGAAGAGCCGCCAACGAGCCACGGCACGACGCCAGGGTCTCGTCCTATTGTCTCTGCTCCTATGCCAACACATTGCTACTTCAGGACACGAGACACGGGCCAAGGGACACGAGGCAGGCAGTCAAGAGCGTGTGCCAAGATGCTGGTACGTGCATCATTGCGATGCAAATGCCACTTTGCGCTGCTACATGAGTGCGTCAACCACCGGCCGACGCCGAAAAGTCCGAGCCCCAAACAGACCGGCACATCCACCAGGGTGCGGCCGTACCTGGTGCTACCAGGAGACCTCATCATGGAGGCATGCCTGGATCCGTTTCCAGAAGATGGCTAACTGGCCCTGCCCTTGGTTGCTCCAGCTCGTGAGCTCAATGGAAGTACCAGCTAGCATGAGTGCAGGCAGAGAGTCACATTGTGAGCCTACACACCGTGTCACATTCAGAAACCACGACAAGGAAGCATTGTCTCTCCCCGAAGAGCATGAGCCCTACTATCATAATCGCACTAGACCCGGTCCCAAGTCCGGGAGGCACTACATTCAGTCGATCTCATTGCGCTCATTTCTTTACCTTGTGCTCTTTATACATTGGGCCAGCATGATCGTAGTGTCTGGAGTGAGGGTTGGCACCTCTGGTCCCCGCCACGTGCCGGGAGCATCCACTATCGGTCATCGTTCATCGCACATTCTTACGGATGCAAAAGACGGGGTTAGGGTTGAGCACACCCGCAACAACTGGCAACCAGCGAGGAAACGAGCTTATAGGCGCGCACTGGCGCGAGCACGCGCACATCCAGCAGGAGGGGTCATGTACAGAGGTAGGTGGCTTAGCGGGCAACATTCGGCCGCTCCCAAGGACCGAGCCGACGAGACATCCCCCGTTCGGGGCCCCACCGGACCCGGAATCGACATCTTAAGCTGGAACTGCGGTGGACTCACATCCACACGCTTTGCTGAGCTCAAACAGTGGTTGCACACCACCCCTGACGGCCAACGGCCACAGATTGTGATCATTCAGGAGACGCTCTGGAAAACCTCCAGTGAGTGGACAGATAGCAAATACTCGTATGTGCATTCGGGTACCAACCGGAACAAAGACGGCGGTTTGTTGCTCATGGTTGCTCGCGAATTATGCTCACCGGACAAACTGCGATATGATGAGCTGAAGCCTGGCAGACTATTGCACATCAAACTCGCTATGGATCCGTCGTTTGAACTCATTGCCATTTACCAGCATTCATGGCGAAATGACTTGAGCACCACCGCTAAAGATAAACTGCTAACACAAAGAGCCGCTATATGGCGACGTTTGCAGCAGTTCGTGCAGAGCACCCCGGCAAGGGCCCAAGTTGTCATTGCCGGTGATTTCAATTGCCCCATTCGAACATGCCTCCCATATGTTGGGAGTGGTGTTAGGCGTAATGTCAAACCTCGTTCTCAACCTCTCCCCGACCCAGCACCGGACCTTGATGACCTGATCAATGTGCTCCGCAATGGGGATCTTCAGGTTCTCAATAGCTTCGGCAGGGAGGGCATGGCCGCCAGCACATACATCAACGCCTCACAAACGCCCATGCAAGGCTCACAAATTGATTTTGTGGTGATGCGCAGGGAGCAGGCCGATGATCGTAGCAGGCGGGTACAGATTATGCGGGATTTCCCTTTACTGCCGATTGAAGGGATGTGGCACTTTCCGCTGCGAGTCACTGTTCCTCGCCCCATTGCCCCCCGATCCAAACCTCAGGACTCACGTCTTACCCCAGACAAGGCTTCAGCCTGCTTGGCTCGGGAACCTGAGAAGGCTCAGCATTTTCAGCAAATGGTGAACGAAATGCTTCAGCAGGCCCCGACGGTGGATTGCATCAATACAGTCCTGCTCCAAGCTTGGGACCAAACCTTTGGCACTGTGGGTGATCCCCGGGAGGGCTTTATTAGTGATGCCAGACTGGCCACCATGTGGAAACATCGGGCACTGGCCATGCAAGCACACAGTCTGCTGTCAAGGTGGCACCATCTTGCTAGATAAAGATCCATCAGGCGAATCATTCAGCGTAGGGTACAGGCGGATAAACGTGCTAAAATCCAGCAGCAGCTGGTGGATGCGGAACAAGCTAGTACAACGGGGCAGCCTGGAGCCCTGTATCAGGTGTTGCGCCGTATCGCACCCAAAATCAGACGCCGCAAACTGCAGCTCCGTGATGCTCAAGGGCGACTCGTGGGGCCAAGAGAAGAGGCCACTCTCATTTTGGACCACTACTCCGAAGTGTTTGCTTCAGAGCTTGCAGTGGCAGACACCCAGTTGGAATGTCCTTTTTACTTTGACTCCGATGAGCTGTATCATGCCCTCTCCGAACTACCCCAACACAAAGCCCTGCCGCAACATTGTGCTCCCGCCCCCCTTTGGAAACTCTGCGCACAGACCATCAGCCAATTCACAGTGCAACAGTTTCAGGGTCGCCTTAACTCGGGATCGTTTCGGGATCAGTGGCCCCGGGACTGGGCATTGTCCTTTTTATGCCTTCTCCCGAAAACAGATCAGCGTTTGGATGCCATAGCCAAGCTTCGACCCATTTCATTGTTGCACCCACTGGGCAAGTCCTTTGCAGGACTCCTCATGTACCGAGTCAGGGAGAGCATCACTCGCAAGCTCGCGTCCATACCCCAGTTCGCATACTTGGTTGGGCGGTCCACGGCTGATGCAGTGGATCGAGCGGTCTGGCATGTGCACCGCACCCGGCAGAGATTGGGCACGCAATACACCATACACCACCGACGTGCAGGCATCCGGCAGCAAACCATTCAGGGCAGCCTGACACTCAGCATTGACCTCCGAAGGGCCTTTGACTCCATCGATCGAGACCTCATCCGTGACGCCCTTAAATGGGCAGAGGTCCCCGCAGAGGTCCTGGATGTCATCGTCGGCCTGCATGAGGCCATGCGGGTTTGTTATACCTCTGCCTTGGGCGAAACGAGATCGGTTTCCACTGGTAGAGGATTGAGGCAGGGATGTAGGTTAGCACCTATAGTGTGGGCGTGCATAACCGGATACCTGCTTAGCAAGCTCATACCGATCTTCGATCAAAGTGATTTGCAGCCTTTGCTTACGCTTTTTGCTGACGACACCCTGGGTCAGTGGGAGATCAATGATCAAACCCAGCTCGACAAAACGCTTAAACAGATTGCGTTCTTGCTTGACTTCTTGAAAATGCATAATCTTAGTGCAAACACCAGCAAAACGGTGATCTTGGCCAGGTTTGCGGGCTCCCACCACACCAAAATTTGGAGCAAACACTTGGTGACTGACCCTGAGCTGGGCACATGTGTGCAGATCAGCTGTAGAGATGAACGTATTCTTCTGCCTGTTAAGTCACACCACAAATACCTTGGGATCATGTTGTCGTATCGACACCTTGAGAGGGAATCGGTCAAGTACCGCATCAAATGCGCACAGGCAAGCTTTTCTCGCATTCAGGCAGCGGTCAAACGGACAGGGAGACTCTCTCTGCGTAACCGACTCAGGTTGTGGAAATCCGTAGTCTGGACGACACTGTCCTACGGATTGGACTGTACAGGTGTTGACGTGGTTGGGAGGAGACTCCTGTGTGCCGCGACCCTCAGACAGCTCAGAGCCATAGCAAATTCGCCGGTGCATCTCACCCGAGAATCTAATGACATGCTACTCCTTAGGCTTGCTGTGCCTCACCCTCTGGAGGCCATGACCGCCAAAACCCAGGAGAGACACACTCGCACGTTGGGGTCGCAAGTGTTCTCCATTCAGCCGCCAGGTATGGGAAATGTTTGGGAGGCCGTGGCTAACACCCTCAAGGAGGGCCCTTCCAAGGTGCCTGAAACCACGCTCCAGGCCACACAGCAGCTCCACCACCTCGGACAGGCCGGGACAGCTACGACGGAACAGCCTCAATCCGCGCCACCGAGCACTTCGCGGCCTGCGGATGCTTTGCCCTCAGAGCCACCCATGCCGGCACTAGACTCCACGGGAGCGCCTGCACAGCATCAGCACAGCCGAGCAGCGGAATGCATAACGGTTGTGCCGGAGGCACCTACCGGGACGTCGTCTGCTGGAGCACATGCCACACCAGGTGACGTGCCTAGTCAGTCCTCAGACTCGCTGCAGTGCCAAATTTGCGGTTTTCGTGCTGATAACACTCCGGCACTTCGTTATCATATGACCACATCGCATGGGCACTCTGAAAGACGTCTTGCAATGGAGGAGAAAGCAGCCTTTCGATTCGAAGACCACGCTCTGGCAGGCATGCCCACCTGCCGGCACTGTGAAAGAGCATTTACTGGCGTCCCACAGTTCAGAAATCATATCATGGCCCAAGTCTGCCCCGTACTGCATGGAGCCCTGCCTTCAGGCCGAGACTACGGTGAGCAGCCTCCACTACCGCAGGGAGCTTCCTTGGAAAACCAGCCATTGCGTGATCGTACTAGTACATATCAGGCATTGCAAGAGGGCGGATGGAAGCATTTGGCAACGCTGCAGGCATTTCGCCAAGTCGCATTAGAACACTGCCCGCTCTGTCACCTCTGGGTAGCCAACAGGAGCGGACAGGTGAAGAAGCATATGCGTCACAAACACAAGGATCAGGAAGCACTCATACAGCAAGTGATCGAAGTTTGCCGCCGCTCTTCCTTTGTGCTGCGATCGCCGTGCCAGCTGTGTTGTGCCGAGTGGAAAGGCCCGGCGATTCGACACCGGGAGTCTTGCACAGTGTTCTTTGCCGCCAGGCTGCTTGCTGCCATCCATGGATTTCAATTCAATGATGAGGGAGGAGCCGACCCCACTGATGCAGTTCGAGTCAATCTTCCATCGGCCAATCCCATCGCACCTGCCAACAAAGCGCGAGGGGCATCAGCTGGAGCCAGTCCAGCAGTGGCCGTCGCAAAAGCAGCGACGAAAGGCACAGGGCGCAATGGGAACGGGCAAAGGCAAGGGAAAGGGAAAGGGCAAAAGCAAGGGCAAAGATTACGGACAGAGCCTGCCGATGCCACCACCGTCATATCTGGACCAGAACGATCAACAGGAGGACCCCTGGCCCATGGGACCGTGGACATCGACCGCCGGCCGGACCGATTACTACTCTCAGTATGCGAGCCCTCAGCCTCAGTACCCCCCGGTAACAACCTGGACTCAGCTTCACGAACTTCAGCAGTACTTCGAGCAGATGAGAAAGCTATTGATTCGCCACGAATGGGAGCTCGCGGGCAGGCGAGTGGACTGTGGATTCATCCTCCATTTCCGAGCAGGCCAGGACGGGATCCTTCGCGAGATCTTCCAGGCCAGCAAGATATGGAACGAGGCTCGAACCCAGGGCAAAATCCAATCCTTGACGCTTCGGCAGGCTCTCCTGATGAAGGTCTTCACAGAGCTTCAGAATCGCATGAACCATCTGAACGAGGATCACATCGCCCGCTGCCGGAAGATGGGCTACTTGAGCATGGAGGGCCTCAACTGGCAGTACATGCGATGGTCTCAGGAGAAGGGGCAGCTCATTCCGGAGAATCCAGTTCGCCAGGTGCCACACGATACATTGATTCAGCATCTGACCTCCATCCTTCAGGCACTGAACATCGACCACATGATCCACAAGTTTACGGCAACTCGCAAGCTGACGGAGAACATCGAGAACACCCTGCCATTCCTGCTGCAGCTGTCAATGCAGGGGACGACGGCACAACAATTGTTTCAGGCTCTCAAAGATCTATGCGGAGCGGGATGCCTTCAGCTTGTCGGACTCACGATGCGCCGCGAAAGATTGGAGCTGCAGCCACTGGCGAAGCAGTTGTTCTGGTGAATGCGTCAGGGCGAGACCGGGGTCTGGCCATTCGCCCAGGCCCCAATGGTCCACAGTATCCGATTTGCACTCTGCCAACTGATACGTGGTTTACCAAGGTCAGACAGCTGAAGCTACAGAACCCAGGACAGAATGCTTGCTACGCTAATGCCTTAGTCCTCGCCCTTTTGTGGCTTGAGGGATATGCTGGTTGCTCTTTCTTTCCAGGTGCGACTGCTACTGCTTTCAGATCTCTGGTGCAGGCGGGTAACAAGATCACTCTTTGGTCACTTTTGCCGTGGCAGAGACTTCTCAGGGGATGGATTGAGCCCCGCCGGCAGCATGACATAGTTGAGCTGCTCACGTTTTTGCGTCCGCACCTCAATCCAGGCCTAATCGCAGGCCAATGGTGCACAGCGGGCACAATTGCTCACCAATTACAGGCAGTGGATACGGGGACCACTTTTCCACTACTCTACACGAGGCCGGAGGAACACAGTCTTGAACCAATTGCATTACAAGAGCTTGTGACCTCCTGGCACGCCCAGGCGGAACCCAATGCACTTCATCAGATTCCTGAATTTTGCGCGGTACAGATTTTGAGGTTCGGCACTTTGCCATGCGGTGATCCTTGCAAGCTCTCATTCCCGATTACTTTTGATGAGCCCGTGCATATTCCGGCTTTTCGTGCGAACTTACAAGATGTGTACTTTGCAACCTACGCCATACGAGCCATTCTGATCCACATTGGCGATGTGCCAACGAGCGGACACTATCGGACAATCCTGATGTCCAATACTGGTGCCTTGCGTGATGCACACTTCACTGATGACTCTGTCATCGCACGGAAAGTGAAGCCTTCTGATCATCAGATGATCAAATGCAATGCCTATGTATTCATGCTGCAGCGCACCAGTTAGTCTTTTCGTAGGTCTGAATCACAGTGATTCGGACGAAGTGGTCACGGTGCAACACACGTGGTGACTGCTCTTTTGTGTAGTGCGAGTCCTCACTCTCTGCTCTTCTTCTCTTCTTCTCTTCTTTCTCGGCCTCTTTCCTCCTTCCTTCCTTTCTCTTCTCTTTCTCTCTCTCTCTTTCTCTCTCTCTCTCTCTCTCTCTCTCTCTCTCTCTCTCTGTCTCTCTCTCTCTCTCTCTCTCTCTCTCTCTTTTCTCCGCCTACACTCCTCGACTCGCGGAGCCACAGGCTTGCTTAGCTGTACGCAGCGGAGCCTGAACTGGGGGGCCAATAGTGCCTGCAGCCACTGCAGCTGCCGCTATGCGGGGTAATACACCTTGCATCGCTGCCCTACGCCAGACTGCATTCGTGCGGTTGCGACTCAAAGCAAAAAAAAGCTTTATCCAAGACCAGCTAAAGCAAAAGCAGATCTTTATCTTTGGCGTGCGTGGTGAAGCCAACGTTGCAGATTTGTTCACCAAACCTTTGAGTTGGACTGTTACCTTGAAGCACATGTGGGGACTTGGCTTGCGTGACATTGCCGTTGTTGCTTGTGTGCTTGATGGCTTTGTTGCGTTGTGCGGTGCAATGCTTGTTGGTAAGAACCATGTTAGCTTGCGTGACCGTTTTGCCGCCATGCCGCATGCCTCCTGGTTGGTGATTGAATTCTGTGCCCCCGTTGAATCGTCGATGAGAGCGGCTAGCCAGGATCTGAACTGGGTGAACGTGCTTACTGTGAGTGAGCGTGATGATGGTGCCAGTAACCAGACCTTGCTCGAGCTCAAAGCCATCTTTGCTGTGCAGATCAAGAAGAAGGGCTTTGTCTTCTTGTGGGCCAGTACCCCGTGTACCGGAGGCTGCCCATATCAGAGGCTGCGTGCCCGTGATCCAGCCTATCGCCGCGGGCGGTTGGCTCAGCACTGGAGGCTTCACCGAAAGCTCTGGAAAAGCTTGGTCGAGCTTACTAGCTTTGTGCATGCCTGGGCCATTGAGTGGCCACGTGCGTTGTGCGGTGCAATGCTTGTTGGTAAGAACCATGTTAGCTTGCGTGACCGTTTTGCCGCCATGCCGCATGCCTCCTGGTTGGTGATTGAATTCTGTGCCCCCGTTGAATCGTCGATGAGAGCGGCTAGCCAGGATCTGAACTGGGTGAACGTGCTTACTGTGAGTGAGCGTGATGATGGTGCCAGTAACCAGACCTTGCTCGAGCTCAAAGCCATCTTTGCTGTGCAGATCAAGAAGAAGGGCTTTGTCTTCTTGTGGGCCAGTACCCCGTGTACCGGAGGCTGCCCATATCAGAGGCTGCGTGCCCGTGATCCAGCCTATCGCCGCGGGCGGTTGGCTCAGCACTGGAGGCTTCACCGAAAGCCCGTAGCCATTTTGGCTCAAGGAAGCCCCCTTAGTGCTCAAGCGCCTTTTGCGCTGTTTGAGGGGCCGGTGTGGCCAAAACGGTGAGCCTCTGCTTTTAACGGTAAAGGTGCTCTAGACCAGGCCCGGGGCTCCCGAACTTGAATTTTGCTGGCTTTGCGGCTGGCTTGTAGCGTAGCTTTGCGCGCTTTTCTCATGGATGGCGATGACATCAATTTGGAACATGGCAACTTTTGCATGGCACATGACGACAATTTTCTGTTGGAGCATGGCAATTTCCACGACATTTCTGCAGAACTGCACATCCGTGCACACATTCTTGATTTGGTGGACGATGCTTTGCTACTTTCAAACCGCTCTGCCCAATTGTACGGCAGAAGCCTGGCGGTGGCACTCCTGCAGGGAATGGGTCCATGTGAGATGTTGCAGGTGGCGCTCTCTGTGCTCCCACTGCATGAAGGCAGACTGCTGCAGGGATGGGCTCAGGTTCATTACCCGGCACTGCAGCAAAACACACAGACCACGCGTTGAACACGGTAGCAAAGTGCAAGACCACAAGAAGACTTCGAGCCAAGACAGCCTTAAGACCTGCATAGCTCAGCCTAGTGCGACTGGGAAACGTAGCGGGACGCGGCCTCTTTGGCATCGGCAGAGGTGTTGCCCTCGCCTTGCTGCCTGGACACTGAGGCTGCACCTTTCGTCTCGACTTTCCAGGCCCGGGATTGCAGTGTGGAACAGTGTTGGGCAGCCTGCACAGCCGGTGGTGTTCCACGGCTACAGGCTGCCTGCCGGCACACCTCTACACTTGGAACCAGGTAGGGATGAGCAACGATCATACCATGACTCACTCACTGAACTTGTGAGGCCGGCTGGGAATTCACTTTGGAGTCTCAGGTGGGAAACCGGCACCATTGCGGCTACCTTTCATGCTTCCTGCGAATCTCTGAGGTGGTTCTTACCTCAGCGCGGCACTTCTGCGAGTGCCCTCGCTCCATTGTCAGCTTCAGGGCCTGTGGTGAACCACGGCTGGGCTGGCTTGCAGGTACCTCTTTGGACAGTTCGCTCTGCAGCTAAAGCGGTGGCCCCAGCAGGGCAAAATCTTGCCAGACCACCTGCCCGAAACTGTGCATCTGTTAGGCCCCCGGGTGACGTGCTCAGACGATCGTACCAACTAGACGGAGGCTGCTGGGAGTACTTTAGCCTTGGAGTAACCTGCTGTCTCTCGGACGTTTCACAGCATTGTGACAGGTTCAAGGAGCAGTCTGTGACCACCACTTGGTGGCGACAGCTGCGATCCGACCTTTTTTGTCGGTTTCTCAGCATTCCTGCCGACCCAGGGGCCAGTGGTGAACCACGGCCGGATCACGTGGCAGGTCCTCCTGTCAGATCAGCTTGCCATTGTGGACCCCTGGCCAGGACCTTGGTCTACCGCCAAAGCTGTCGAGGTATATGCTCACAGTGATAACATGAGTCCATTAGGTCGGCAATGCCTCCCCAGACAAGAGGAGCAAAGCACCCGGACCCTTCAGCACCGCCGCCGCCGGCGGCGAGACAAAGGCGGCGTAGGAGCCACGGTCCTGACATCACAAGCAGCAGCAGCAGCAGCGGCAGCGGCAGCAGCGACAGCATCAGCAACGACAGCCTGCAGTGCACTACAAGCTCAAGCTTGCCTAATGAGGCAATCTTTCAAGATGAGCCAGTGGAGGTCGTTCCAGACCCAGGCCAAGGCCCCGTGGATAGGGATTGCTCTCCTGAGAGGAGGGCCGCACAGACTCCACATCGAGAAACCTCTCAATCGAGCAGTGAACTGGCATTCTACGAGGAGCCCAACTCTGAAGAACTGGAGTGGGAGACTCATCCTGACAGTCCGAGTCCCCTTTCAAGCGAAATCGTGGATCGTGCCATCGTGTCCCCATCGCCCGAGGGCTCGGAACAGATGGATGTCGCCAACCTTGCTAATCAGGCAGCGACGGCCCAAGCCTCCTCGACAACGACTCGCGCTCTCTCGTGCGCCAAGATGCTGGTGCGTTCCGGACTGCGATGCAGATGCCATTTCTTGTATAGCTGGGAATGCCCTGACCGACAGGCCACCTAAGGACCAGACAAAACAGGGTCGATGCTGTAGTCCGGTCCGCCAGCTGCCGCAACTTACGGTGCAAGTGTGCTTCTCTGGCACCAGAGGCTCAGGGCGTGATGTAGCTGTAGCGGTGGGGCTGGGAGACTCCTGGACACATACCCTGGAGGCCATCTCCTTCAGCCCATTTTCTGTCACACCGGTTCTCATGAACAGAGGGCCTGCGCACAGCTGCAGGCTTCCCGCTGGGAACGGGGCCAAGTGCCGAGGACTAGTGCTTACGGTGCTCCGAAGCCTAGGTCATGCCACTCTTACTGCTCACCCTCAGGTCGGGAAACAGAGGGCCACTTTACGGCCAACCTGTCGTGATGTCCTCGGATTGCCATTGCACTCGTCGGCTAGACCCATACCTGACAACAGCGGTCACGGACAAACCGAGCTTGAGAACATGTCGAGTGCTCAGCCTGCATCTTTCTGCATGCCATGTAACACGTCGCCCACTGAAGCTTGCGGTTCTGCTGTCTCGGCTGACTCTGCTTGCTTGCACGTAGTTTTTCCAGTGTCGCTTCATTGGGACGGTGGGGCAATGGGCAAGCACCGTAGTTGGAGCACACGACAACGGTC